AATTTGTCCAATAGGCAGAAGAATGTAATCAAAAGGTTTAAATAGGGAAGTGATTTTAAACTATGAGCTTATAAAAATATTCCAATTGCTTTAAATGGATCAGAAGTCATGGTGCATGACTATAACCCCAGGATCTGATAGCCCAAGGCTGGAAAGTTTTAAGTTTGTGGTTATCCTGGAAGGCCCTGTCTCAAAACAAATTAAAAACCAAAAATAGAAGAATGATTTAGAGGTAGACTATGGGGAAGCAACTCTAGATGTCCAGTGAGAGACAGCCCAGCCATCCTAATGTGTTCTACACACAATCAAGTGCTTGTCCTGCACCAGGCACTCCCTGTACATATGTGTCAGCGTCAAGATCAAGGCATGGATCTGTAAGGACTACCAGTCCCCGCCCTTCAGTCCCATCAGTCACATGTTAATCCTCTTGTGGCTAGACATGCCACAGCAGTAAGTCATTGTTTTATGGATGCAGCAACTCCATCAACAAGGGGAGCTCTAGACACACTCACAGGAGGGCCCAGAAGTGCCTGAGCTACTCTGTTCCTGACTGAAGATCACAGGTTACCTAAACGGGGCCCTCTCCCAATAAGCCAAGTGAATACAGAGGATACAGGCAGTGTTTACCTGCCCCCAGTGTAGCTGCTACCCAGCTGGCCCTCTTACTGCACACACAAGGTTAGAGACAGAAATAGCTCTGCCTCAAACCAATCTTGGTGACAGGTGCACAATAATACAAATATACTAAAACATTTCAATTGCATTATTTAAATGGGAGATTACAGGTATATGAATATCATAAAACAGCTCAATAAAGCTGTTACGAACCACTTGTCCTCAAAGATGAGAAGATTAATGGATGAGTGAAAGAAAAGCTAAGTGGGAAAGCTCCAGGATTGACCATTTCAACGAATGTTGAATACTGATGTTTTAAGGGAGTAAGACAGCAATTCTCTTAAGATGGATAGAAAAAAATAAATCTACAAAGGCCTTATTTCTCCATAAATCACTCCATCTAAAATCTTAACAATAACGATAAACATAAACTGTCAAGAGATGCCTTTGCTGAAAAATTTCAGTGGACAGAAAAGAGATACAGAATATATTATTTCTTCTTACGCATCTGCACTTCTGAGAGCATTCACACCCGCAGACGCCCAAGGTTCCAGACGCTTAATGAACTGTGCACAGTTGCTTTGCAACTGGCCTCTGTCATTTTTCTCATGGGGTTAGCAATGCAAGGGATAAGGGCTGACAACAGTGAGCAGGCGGCTTTAATGTGCCACGGTCCCACCAAATCTGCATTGTTAGCCTTGCAGACAGCAAAGAAGATGAGGGCTGATGCTATTTAAAATAGTCAGGGCTTAAAGGCAACTCCAGGCTCACAGGAGACGAAGAAGCAGCACCTTATAATCTTCAACAGCCACACAAATGGATTATGGGTAATGATGGACACAGGCCCTTGAATTTTAGCATAAGTTTCATAGGCTTTACTTTGAGATTACTGCAAAATCCTGCGAGAGTTATTCAGGAAAGGTGTGCCTACAACAGACATTGTCTGTAAGAGTAATGTCTAAGGAAATACAGATGTGCTTTTATATAGTGGCAGCTTCCCAGAAAGCTCAATTTAAATTTTAGTAGAAAGATGAGTAGAAATAAAAGCATGAGTGAGCCTACAACACATCTATGAAGGAGGCAGCTAACAGACTCACAATGCCGGAGACAAACAGGGACAAGAAGTAATGTATCGGGGAGGAGGGGGAGACTGCAGTGCTTATAGGTCAACAGTGGGAAGAGCCCAACTTAAGATGGAAGTAGGCTCCACTCCTTGAAGGAATGGGCTTTGTAAAAGTCAGGGCAAGTGCCAGGCATTGGTGGTGCACACCTTTGATCTCAGCACTTGGGAGGCAGAGGCAGGTGGATCTCTGTGAGTTCGAGGAGGAAGAGCCACGCTCACTGATCTCCAGTGCTCCCATTCAGATCACTATTAGAGAATAAACACCCCCCCTTTTCTCATTTATCATCCTTATAGGGGAACAGAGAAAGCTATGTTCATGCCAATGAGAGCCTACAGTTCTCTAGGTAAATTTTATTGCCTAGGTTTACCAGAGATGGGTGGGATTACATCCTGAGTCAAATGAATCAGACATCCAAATAAGCAGGCATAAGCAGTCAGGTCCACCAGCAACAACAGCAGGAATGAAGAGAACCCTTCAAAAAGCACCACGTGAGAATTCAAGAGTTTACTGAGCAAGCAACAGGCACGGACTGGGGATGTGTCTGAGAGACCCTGACTCTCTGTGGGCCTCAGTCTTGTGTGAGAATTATGTTAGGAGCAAGGAAGTGTGGGGTACTTGAAAACCAGGAATAAAGCTGAATCTTTGTCATTTTTCTGAGTCTCCATTAACTCAGAGTGTTTCAAAATTCCGAGAAAATTTTAATTTTAATTAACAAATAAACCACTACCACTTATTCTCTAGGAGTCCATAGAAAACTTATTCTAATTTGCTCAGATGCACATGCTAACAAGACATCTTGCTGAATATGAAAAATCCATTGCCAACTGAAATTTTCACCCCCTAAGACACTATTACTACTGACTCCACATACTTTTGTCATGGGCCTGGAGAAACCCAGCTGATGCTGATCTGGAAGCCTCATCCCTACTGGCTAGCTTTCATAATATTGGAAGGGTCTATGCATACTACCAAAGGAGAAAAGTAATCAACAGTTTGCCCAGCTGGGAACTATACAAGCAATAACAACAACTGGCCTGGTAAGATATGCCCATTGGTGCAATAATGGCATGAATGTTATAAGAGCAAACAGGCACTTTCTGGTTGAGTTTAAGGCCCACTCCATAAAATGAAACTCATAACTTGTACCATTAACTGGTTCAAAAAACCATGGCTGACTAGCTCATAAGCACTAAGAATATAATACTAATATTCTGCAATAATTTGCTCTTAAATCCTTGCCTTTATACTCGCTAAAGTGTATCTGTCAGCCCTCATCAGAGAAGCTTCTTTTTGCAGTAGATGGCAATTAATACAGACACCCATAACTGGTCAGTATGCAGAGAATATGAGACTGTAGGGCTCAGCTCTAAATGGGGCATCTGCATCACATCCCAACCCCCAAAGCTTAGGGATCATCACAGAAGGACAAGAAGATTGTGCCAGAGGTAGTGGACATCTGCAGTGACATAGTATTTACTGAGCAGCTATGACTACTTGCATAAGAGCCACAAAAGATCAAGCCAACAAAAATTCCAACATGGATGGGGAAGAGCTCATGAAGTCCTGCCCCTGGCAGATGAACTATTGACAAATGACAGCTGCTGGGGGAGGGAAAAGTCAGTTTTCTTCAGGGATATAGTCTCTGGAAGGCTATCCATGCTCCAGTAGATGGTTCTACATTCATGCACCCATCGACTTCACTAAGTGAACTCAATGGCTTTAAAACAGAGCACATGAAGTTGGGAGGGGAAAGCTCTGGATGGGACTAGGCAGCAATAGGAGGGATGGGACTGGAAGAAGGCTTTGATAAAAAACATTATAATTCACATGAGTTTAAATGTATTAGGTAGCCGGGCGGTGGTGGCGCATGCCTTTAATCCCAGCACTCGGGAGGCAGAGGCAGGCAGATCTCTGTGAGTTCGAGGCTGGGCTGGACCGACAGCCTTGCAAACAATACAGAGAAACCCTGTCTCGTAAAAACCAAAAAAAAAATATATATATATATAAAATAAAATAAATGTATTAGGTAACATTATAGCTGTAATATTTAAAATCAAAATTCATTCAGCTACTTCCTCTTAGAAAGTCTCTTTAAAAGGCACTGGTACAGCTTAGAAACTCTATCCAGCTAATATAGTCTAATCTGAAGGTAAATAAGAGTTGTGGAACATAAAATTTTAAAATAATCTCAGAAATTATTCAAAATTTAAAAGTTCTTTGGTAAAAATGAAAAAAAAATTAACAAAGAAAACACCACCACCTATTCTCAAGGTACCATAGAATATTTATGCTAAGTGCTGGCTTTTGCGACTTTTATCAGAACATGTGTTAGCAAAATACAATTGTGCTGAATATGAAAAGTGCATCACCAACAGAAATTTCCACTGAGATGCTAAGAACATTGTTATACAAACTAAATGAAGAGGGCTGCAGAGGGTGTGGTGAAGCATCCTAATAGGAGACTGCTTCATGCATTCCAATCTAGTCGGTGCCACAAGGATTTAGAAGTAAGAACAGCCACTCATGGCAGAAAGTCAAGACTCGGTGTTTTTCTCCTTGGTGTATTTTAATCTAGGTTTTAGTTTGCTATTTCCACCTTCCATTCTCCCAGCCTTCCAACAGTGGAGAGGTGCTCACAAGACCAACATAGCATACTAGTCCCTAAAACTCCCATGTCTTCTCTTTAGATCAAACAAAGTTCATTGGATGCCTCTAGAGTCCAAGCAAATGATACCAATGAGCAAGATGGAAGGTAACATAGCATGCATGCATGCATGTGTGTGTGCATGTGTACATACACACATGTGTTTTATGAGTAGTAAAATTACGTGAAGCTGAAGAGGAGACAGAAGGGAATAGTATTTGGTTCCTGTGATTGCTACCATGTGTAATATTGCAGTTAAAAAATAAAGGTAGTTTTAATCTTCATGTGTACTTCTGACCATGTCAATTCAAGTTTGGCAATGCCTGGGTCAAAGAGGTGACCAGCTCTCAGTCTTTGTTAAGGTATTGCTATTAGTTTAGTATGCTAAATTCTGCAGATTTATTTTCATCACCCCAGAGAAAAAGCAGCAAGGCAGGAGGCTCATCCATACCTTAACAGTAAGGATCTCTCTTCTTCAGGCAAGCTCTGTGGTCCAACAGCCTAATGCTGTACACGACACAGCTACCCCCTATGATCCTAAAACACTGCCCCGTCCAGGACTGCACAAAACAAACTATTTCTTTCCCATTGCGATGCCATTTTGAGTGGTTGCTTACCCGTTTGTCAATGTCGTTGTGTTGAAGCTGCACAAAACGTGCACTGATGGCTGCAATGTAGCTTTGCTGATTGGAGAACGCAACACGCCCAGCACCTTTGGGGTACTTCAGCTCTGGGTCCGTGTCAATGCCAGCATAGCAAACACCACCATACAAACGGTCCATTATCATCGCCAGTTCAACTGTAGGAAAAGAAACACGTCTATGTGTAACTATTTGGAACAACTCACCCAGGAAAAGGCGGATCATGCAGTCTAATTATGAAAAGAAAACCCACATGAGGGCTCATGAAGAATGACCACATCAGTCCAGTAGGAGAGCTATTCATTGGATATTAAAATATCGAGAGACATGTGGCACTTACCTGTGCTGCCAACTGCCTGAAGGGAATTGTTTACTTGCAAACAGCATCTCCACCTATGGCCATTCTTTTCAGGCCACTGCTAAATCCAAAGACTTAGGCCTACCCCTCGGCAGTGACCCAAACACCCATTTTCTTTCAAAACCTACATACGGCATTTAGAAAGAAGAAAACAGGGAACAGACAGTGACTAGCGCCAATGCAGCAAACAGCGCCACACTCTGGTGGGCACAGGCAAGGCTCTGTGGCGTTTTAGGCTATCCCTTAGTTCTACAAATAAATGTAAAGCCAAGTATTATTCCTTCTGGCATAATGAAATTGCAAAGGCAATAAGAAAAATTGTCACAATGTGACAGCTATTTTTGCATTTCAAAATTTCTTTTGATAATAGACTACCTAATACTGGTTTTTTTTCCTAAATGCCTATTTAAAAAAAAAAAAACAGGACGAACAATCTATAAAAAAAAGCAGTAAGTCTGAAGTAGAAAATAAACTAGTAATACTAGCCCAAGAGTAAGTGCTATGAAGACCAAGCAGCAGAAAGCCATCCCAAATGTCTCATTATGGTCAGAATTGTCGAGTCCCAACAGCACCTTGAATGTCATTCACTTGCACAATGCAACAAAAACTGCACCTGTACCCTGAATGTCAGGGGTCAGTGGCTCCTCACACTTCATCCTCTGATGGCCTAACCTCTTCCTCACATGGACAATGCTATTTTCACCAGGAAGCAAGAAACATCATGGAGAATTGTAAAACACAGTCATTAATGAATTTCTCTTAGTGAGATAAGTAATCTCAAGGCCCAAGAAACCAGACAATTTTCCAAAGACCAGGTTTGCTCTAGAATAGAAAAGAAAGAAAACACTCCCTAGGCCTGGTGAGGCCAGGAAAAGAATGCTGGCAAGGAACCAAATGGCATTGTCTTCCACAATAAGGCCTCAAAAAGATATCCGAATTACAAAGGAAGCAAATATTGTAAGCTGGGAGCTCTGGTTAAAGAGGAGTTAGAGTGTTAGCACAAGGTTTTTAATACCACACCGGTCTCCAAGGGAGCTTTAGGGATGCCAGAAGGCCCTTTCCATGAGCATAAACTTCCATTATTTTGTGAATCTCTAGCTAAAAAGTCATCATCACATGCCAAAGTCTAGATCATGACTGATATTACTGGCAGTTAACTCCTGATAAGAAGCAGGGCCTCACCCAATTATGCTTTTATGAAAACCATAAGTAATTTCCATTTGTGAGCATTTTTTTGCTTGTATGTACACATGTGCAAGTTCACGAGGAGAGGGAGTGCACATGTATGCTCATGTGAGTGTGAGAGACAGGTCAACTCGGTGTCACTCCTTAAGAGCTGTCTACCTTGGTTTTGATACAGGTTTTCTTGCTGAGCCCTGAAGTTTGTCTGTTAGGCTAGGTTGGCTGGCCAATGAGCCCCAAAGATTCTCCTGCCTCAGACACCTCAGCTTTGAGATTGTATGCATCCACCTCTGGGCCTGGGCTTGTTTATGTGGGTTCTGGGGATCAAAGCCTTAATTATGCACTGGACTTTCTCCCCGGTCCTATAGTATTTTCTTGGTCATCAAAAAGTCTCCAGATATTTGAGCAATAGTGTTTTGCTCAAGGGAAAAACAATTTGTTAAAAGGCTAGCAAAAACCAAAGTGGCTAAAGGAAGAGTTTTTTCAAGGAAACTGACACATTTTCATCTCTCTAATTCATAGGTTTTTGTTGCTTTGTTTTTTGTTTTGTTTTATTTGTTTGTTTGTCTCACGTAGCCCAGGCTGGCTTCAAACTCTGTGTAACTAAGGATGAACTTGCATTCCTTATTCCCCTGCTTCTGTCCTTTAAGCATTGGGTTCACCAATGTGCCACCACACCTGGCTTCAGTGGTACTGAGGCTGGCACTCAGGGCCTTGTGCATGCGAGGCAAGCATTTCACCAACTGAGAAATCCCTCAGCCTCACAAATCTATATGTTAAGTCTATGTTATGATCACTTTTGTAGAAAAAATAAAAAGCAATCAAACAACTGTTTATAGTTGACCATTTACTCAACCCATAAGTCTTCCCATGGTGTACTTCCTGAACTCATACTATACTAAGATACTACAGTGATTGACGTCCCTTAAATGACAACCAGGGTTTCCAATTTTGAGAAAAGTAGTCACCTTTCATAAGTAATTCTTTTTCAATAATTTTAATGCTATAAAGACAGGTTCCATCCATCCACTACTATATGGGTGACTAACAGAAGCAGAGAAGAATCTCTTTTAAGTCTTACAAATTTCTAATCCGATGTTTCCCCAATTTTTAGTATCCATTTTTATTTGTGTGTGTTCTGGTGTCTGCAGAGGCTTGAAGAAGGTATTGGACCCCTTGCATCTGGAGTTAACAAGCATTTGTGAACCACCCAATGTTGGTGCTGGAATTTGAACTCTGGTCCTCAAAAGCAGCAAGCGCTCTTAACTGCTGAACCATCTCTCCAGCCCCAAGTTTTTCTACTTTTAAAATAGAGGATGTAAGTTTACTGACAAATGTTGCAACATGTAGCTACTTTTAGAGACTAGGTTTAGAAGTCTCTAGAATGAGTATCATTAGTGACTACAACAAAGTCCTGTATAGGCCCCTTCTTCTGATGGGAGGAAAGAAAGAATGGGGTAGGGAGCAGGCTACCATTCTGACTTTCTAAAAGGGAGAGAGACAATCAAAACAATCAGTAACTGTCTGAACAACCAAATCTTCACTGATTCATCTATCTCTGCAGAGATAAATCCATAATCTTGCTGTGAAATCTGAGTCCTTAATTGACGCATGTCCTATCAAGTAAGCCTAAGTAGAGAATGGAAAGGGTAATTACCTGGAGCATAATAAGAAACTTAACACAAAGAAGAGAGAACTGGGCATACAGATGAAGGAATATGGAGTCCACATGGACTTCACACAGGTGACAGTGAAGTCTCTACTCCCGACCACCCTGGTATTCTCGAGGTCTGTCTAGTCACCACACAAGTAAGAAGCTAGCAGGATTCAGAGATACGTGCAAGGGCATACTGCATTTTAGATCATGTGCTCTGTACTCCCAAATCAGCTTCCACAGTAGCAACAAGACTCCTGAGTCCTGTTTCCATGCTGGCTCCTGTGCTGAGCTCTGCTGTACTACACAACAGGGAGGGAAGCGAAATAAGCCACTGTGTGAGAATCTGAATCCCACTATGGGTCCTTGGACCTGCTCCTGATTCTTCATTCAGAGATGTGACAAGGACTTTAGTTCACCAGAGAGAAAATCTTGATGAATTCCCCATTCTACTCTATCTCAGGGTCCTGTTCTCTTGTTTAGTTTCTTTTTAAAGTCAGTCTGAAGGCAACGTCTAAGTCGGGGACACTGAGAGCCACGCAGGGTGGCAGCGGAATGGGGATTCCCAAGAGAAATACCACCACATTCATCTTTACAGATTCTAAATTGTGATCTAGAAGTCCTATTTCTTCTCTTTGGAAGTAAACAAAAACTACACAGGCCTAAAGCACCTCAGATGACAAAGGAAGATGAACTCTTGGTTTCCCACAGGGTTCAAGAGGAGGCACGCTCACTTGCTTGCATTCTGTGCCAGATGAGGCCGAGAACAGTTTTAACGGATGGTATAAAGCAGGAAGTCAGAAAGGAAGCCTTTATTTAAGTTCATTAAGTCAAACTGCTACCAAGCTGCTCTTTTACTGAGACAATAACCCAGATCTCCACTAGGTAAAACAGCTTCCATCAAAGAGCCTAACCCTGAACCAGAGACCGAGGGCTTGTTGCTACTCACTGCTACTCTATCTGAATTCTGCCTCCTCGTTTCTAAACACAGCTACTGCTCACAGCCTCATGAGGTTATCATAAACTACCCATGAACGAGCAGCTCTAAGCACACCACTGAGTACACAGTGGCACTGTTTAGTTCTTTTTGCTCCCTGCTCGTAAATCTTTGCTTAAATGAAGCTAGCTTGGTTTTTGCTTTATAAACATCAATTTGGCTTTATGTTGGCTCAGTGTGTCATGGATATGGCAATGTTTGACAGCATCTATGGGCAAAAGTTTGTTGCAGGGGAGCGTGGAACACATACTAAACATTATAAAAGTCCTTATCCCTACAAGCATGTCAAACCTAGAGTTTATTTGGGTCACATTATACTGAACTTGGGACTGGATGAGAAAGTGCTTACTGCTGAGAAACTTGACATACAGATATTTTGGCCATCTACTACTTCACAGAATAAAAATGGATATGGTTACAAGACCATTTTCTAATTACAAATCAGGGTGTGATCTCCAGTTCATGTGAACTCTTACATGTTTTTACAAAATGTCTGAAATAAATGATCCCGAGAAATATTGAGATATATATTTTTTCCACGTGGCATATATCATCGGAAGTCTATCTCCCAGGGCTGGGACTGTAGCTCGGTGCTAAAGAACATGCCCAGCATGCATAGCACCATGGATTAAATTTCTTAAACTATAATAATCTTTACCTTGACATAGAAGCCATCATAGAGCAATGGGGTTGGGTAGCAGGGAGAGAATGAAACTTCAGGATTAACAGAGAGAAAAAGGAGAGCTACCAGAGCAATGGCTAAGAAGGATCAGACCCAACACTACAGAAGCAGTGACAGCTCTAGGAGCTCAAAGACTGCAGTCTCTCAAATGAAGCTGCTCTGCAAGGCCTGGTCTGATCAAGGGTTGAAGGCAGTCATCAAATGAAGAGCAGGGGTCTACAGCCTATTAATTTGGGAAGAAGAAATTCTAAAATGCAGCCACTTCTGCAGTCCTTAAATCAGACACCTACACCAAGAAGATGGCGTGAGAGAAACACTTCTGCAAGCAAAGCAGAGAGCGCTGGGTAAGCAGACGTTCCAGCTTGCACCTGGTCCCCTCACAGCCCTGCACCTGACACTGACTCACTGTCACAGTCAAGAGCCGCATCTTGGAGAGGTCCTAATGCCAAAGGGATGTGCCATAGGGCGTTTTCTGTGCGGACCTCAGGAAAATACATTGCTTGTTATCACTTGGCCAAAGATCAGCAGCATTCAGTTGTCTCTGTGACCCACAGAAAAGCAGACAGTCTAGTTCTTTTGAGGACTCTTTAAACAATGTGCAAACTTTTGCCACAGGGGGGCAGGGTGAGTCTGCTTTTTTTTTTTTTTTTTTTTTTTGGGCCCCTGAAGAGAAATGGGGTGAAGACAGGGAGACATCCAGATCTTAGAAAGATCAGATTTGGGACAAACCATCCTTAGCTTGCTGCTGTTCCTCACAAGAGTGCTGGAAAAGAGGCAAGATATGATGGCAATGTGCATTATCTGACCTCAACCCACAACTGAGGGATGAGAAAACCCATCCAGATATATTTTCATTAGATTTCCTCACTCAGGTTAATTTATCCAGGCCTGTGATTTCCCCTGCCAATCTGAGTTTTAAAAAGGAAGGTTTGACCTGGGCATGGTAGTTCATGTGTGGCAGGAGGATAATGAGATTGTAGGAAGACTCTTGTCTCAAAAAACAAAAAGGTTTGTCTAGGAGTAAGAATATTTAATTCAATAGACATGATTGATAAGCCCAGTCAGGACAATACTTGCTTCGTTAGAGGCATTTCTATTTGGATGCATAAGGGCTACATTAAGAATAAATATGAGTAATAATAGTCCCTATCTTACAATGTTAAAAGTAAAACAAATAAAAAACCCTCAAAAGATCTACAGGAATAACATTGATGCTAACATTCCAGTCTTCCAATCACTCTGACATGCTAAATGACAGTTTTTGGCCAAGGATAAAGGGAAAGAAAATATATTCCAGTACCCAAAGCCTCACTTAGTGAGCGAGACCCAAGGACGATCTTGCCATGAGATACTTGATAAAGAAAGTCAGTCTTAGGCTAGAGCATAGCTCAGCAGCTAAGAGCATCTACTGCTTTTGCAGAGGACAGAGTTTGCTTTCCCAGAACCCACATCATATGGTTCACAACCACCTGTAAGTCCAGTTCTGGGACTCCAAAGCCCTCTGGCATCCACAGGCATCAGCATGCATGTGATATACATAAGCTCTTTTTTTTTTTTTTTTTTTTTTTTTTTTGGTTTTTCGAGATACGGTTTCTCTGTGGTTTTGGAGGCTGTACTGGAACTCGCTTGGTAGACCAGGCTGGCCTCAAACTCACAGAGATTTGCCTGCCTCTGCCTCCCGAGTGCTGGGATTAAGGGCGTGCGCCACCAACGCCCGGCATACATAAACTCTTACAGGCATACATAAATGAAAAAAACTTTAAAAAATGTTCTATAGTATTTCAAGACCAAATTTCCAAATCATGTTAAAAATATAATTGAGTCATCAACTACCAATACATTTCTTGTGTTCTGTTCTGAAAGCTTTAGCTTTCTATATAAAATGTCCCGTTTAATATGATCATGGGATACTCACTTAGTTCAATATGTCATGTCCTTGCTTATTTATTAAATAGTGGACTTCCTAGCCACCAGCTGCATTCTATAATTTCTGGCAAGTGGCCTGGAAGTAACACTTCAGTAGAGCAACTGACTAGGCTCTACTACATATCAGCCAAAACAAAGCAATTTTAAGACATACCAGCTAACTTGAAAAAGAAAAGAAATTCAAGAATTATTAGGTATATTTTCTAGGCAAAGAATATACATCCTGTTTCTGATTAGATAACTAAATATAATTCTTTTTTTTTAATGCTTGTTTTCATTTTTAGGGGGCATTTTGAGACAGGATCTTACGTAATGCAGGCTTGCCTTGAATTCACTATGCAGTTAAGGATAACACTGAACTCTTGACCCACCTGCCTTCTTGTGCAGGGATTACAGTGCTGTGCCCGTGCCTAGCTGTATAATCTAATATCATTTCTGTCGGATTCTAGGACTTGTAGCATCTTGCTGAAGTTGAGCATTGGGTACAGTGCAGCTTGTTAACTACAGTTCCTGTGCCTTAAAAACAAGACCTAACAAGATAAAATCAGTTACATTATTTTATGATTGTGGGGACCTTTTTTTTTTTTTTGAGGCAGGGTCTTTCTGTGTAGTTCTGCCTGCCCTGACTTGGAACTCACTATGTAGATACACTAGCCTGGAACTCAAGAGATCCACTTATCTCTGCTACCATAGCAAGCTTCAGGGCTTTTAAAGGTTCTCATATAGGAAGAGTGAAAGGGATGAAATGTTAAAACAACTTCCACTGCACTGTAGTTAGTTACAAGGTATAGCAATGACTATCCAACTGTAAAATATGTGCGCAGTAAAAACTCTCAATGAGGATTCTTCTCCAGTCTTGCACATTGACAGTCAAAGTGTCATGCATGTTCTACAGCACGCCACACACATCGCCTTTTCCTAAACACTAGACTTTATCAAGTGATTTCTTTTGGCACAGTTTTTCTTTAGAAGGTAAGGAGGACCCAGAGGTCTCTGACTTTTAGAGATAATATAAAATTGCCATAATCATATTTTTAAAGTTCTTCAAAATAGATTTATGATTATATCCCACTTCTTTTTGAGACAGGGGCTCACTAAATAGGTTAGCTCAAAACTCAAGAGCCACCCTGCTTCAACCTCCCAGTGCTAAAGTTACAAGTGTGAGTTCTAAAGTGTGTGTGTGTGTGTGTGTGTGTGTGTGTGTGTGTGTGTGTGTGTGTAGGCTGGAGTTAGAATTCAAATAAATAGTGTTGAGATTCATTCAGAATTTTTCGGTGTAGTCAAGGCTGGCCCTGTAGCTAAGGTAAGACTCAGACTTGAAATCATCCTGTGTCAGCCTCTGGAGTGCTCAGCTTACAGATGAGTGTCACCGCTCCTGGCTTGTCTCTGGGTTTAAATGATGAGGCATCAGTTCAACACCACTTCAAGCCTCTAGCTCATTATGATTCGGCTTACTCTCAGCAACATGAGATTGTTTTGTCCTTGGAAACAAATTAAAACAACAACAACAAACAGTAACAACAGAAGAAGGCCAAGTAGTGCTGGCCTGTGACCTCAGTCACTTGACAGGCTGAGGCAGGAGGAGTCTAAGGCCTGCCTGACATACACAGTGAATACCTTGACAACTTCGAGATCAGACTGTCTCAGAATTAAAGTAGAAAGCAGGTTGGGGATATGAGTACTTGTCTAGAATGTGTAAGGTCCTGGGTTCAAGCCCCAGTACCACATCAAAAAAACCCACATAGAACAGGGAGTTTCTATAAAATCATACTTTTAAAATATGCCTCAATACATAATCCATTTCTGGAAATCATAAGAACTAATCAGACCCTGCCTTGCTGGGGGAGGCCCAGGGGTCTAGCTTGATCCTCAGGTTCAGATCTCACTGACTGAGCACCAGGTGCAGGGACAGACTCTGATGGGGTAACTCTGCAGCAACCCGCATGAGCACGCACACCGCCAACACGATTATTTAAATGTGTGGGTAAATAGGAAAGAACTAAATAGAGCTCATCCTTTCCACAAAATGGTTTAATGAAATCGACTCTTGCACCAAAAGAATATACAGCATTTGGGGGAAATTCTTAACCATAGAAAAGTCAGCTTAGTGAAAACGACATGGCAGACTTCCTTTTGGAGGCTGTGAACGGCTGACTGGAAACCCAGGCAGAGAAAACACATTGGGGATTTTGTTGTCATCGCTTTTGTTGTGGTGTTTCTATTTCCACTCACCAGCTCGAAGGGGTCGTGGAACTCCCCCAACAAAGATAGTTTTTCTGGGGTCCAAAGGCTGAGAACCATCCATTACAAAGTCACTGTCACTTAGGTTCCACGGTCGAATTTGCACCTGAAAAAAAGTTGTTTACTTGGTCCTTACTTCATTTCCATCAACCCCAAATGAGAATAAGATGACTCAAGACAAACCCAATGTTTGTGCATTTTACAACATCCAAGTCCCAACCAAAATCAAGTTAATTACTTAATCTGACCTGCGTTAAGTGGCTCTCTGTCTTAGGGAGGCCACTCAACACTTAGGCACATGTACACAAGCCACCTGTGTCATTTAAAGGCAGTCTCCCACAGAATCTGGGTTTGAATCCAGTTCAAGTGAACACATCACAGACTCTTGGAAACCTGTCACAGTACATACATCATTTAGATTTTTGTAATGAATCCATCTAAATAGAACAGAAACATTAGGAAGACTTTCTAAGAATTAACCTATTTGTCTGCATTTTTAATTCTCATCACTGCCCCAATTTGAAATATTTACCTTTCAAATCTAACACTTAGGTTAGCAAACAATCTCAGAGGTGTCAAATAGTGACACTCAGAGAATGGTGTCTAATTTAATTATTAAACTGATTTTCCTACATAAGGTTGATTAAGCAAAGACAAACTTAGCATGTGTATGTGCGCATGTACACATGTGCATGAGCCTACACAACTGTGCAAGAGAGAGAGAGACAGAGGGGCACAGAGAGACACACAGAGAAAGACAAAGGGACACACAGAGAAAGACAGACACACAGAAACACAGAGAGACACACAGAAAGACAGAGGGACACACAGAGAAAGACAGAGGGACACAGAGAAAGACAGAGACACACAGAAAGACAGAAGGACACACAGAGAAAGACAGAGGGACACAGAGAAAGACAGAAGGACACAGAGAAGACAGAGGGACACAGAGAAAGAGGGAGACATAGAAAGACAGAGGGACACACAGAGAAAGACAGAGACGCACAGAGAAAGACAGAGACACACAGAGAAAGACAGAGACACACAGAGAAAGACAGAGACACACAGAAAGACAGAGGGACACACAGAGAAAGAAAGAGGGGCACAGAGAAAGACAGAGGGACACACAGAGAAAGACAGAGACACACAGAGAAAGACAGAGACACACAGAAAGACAGAGACACACAGAAAGACAGAGACACAGCGGTAGGGGCAGAGCAGGGGAAGAGAACCATGCTGTTGTATGAGTCGGTCCTCTTCCTTTATTACGGCAGTCCTAGGGCTTGAACTTAGGTCAGTAGGCATGGTACCAAGCACTTTAACTGCTGTGCCATCTCACCAGCCCATAACACTTTAAAGAATATAAAAAGAAACCTTTGCAGTTTATTTTCTTTTCTAAACTTCCTATTTTTTTCTTACAAGAGTGTGCATGTTTGTGTGTATGATGCATGTGTACACATGCATAGGCATAGGCATGTTTGCCAGATGAGTGGAGGTCAGAGTACAGTTTTGGGAGTCGTTCTCTCCTGGGGATCCCACTCAGGTCATCAGACTTGCATTTTACATGGCAGCAAACATCTTTACCTACTGAGCCACGTCGCTGCCTGCCCACATTTTTATTTTTATTTGGATTCTTAATTTTCTGCTCATACTTTGTACTATTTTATCATACACTAAGAAATTAAGTATCTTATCAGTTTACCCTTAAAACAAATTCTTTTTAATCACAATAGGATTACAAAGAATAGCTTGAAACCAACGGAGAAAGCAAAAGCAAGGCTACTGTTTCCACCCTAAAAGGTAAGGGTGACACTGTCCCCAAAACAACCAGTGTGGCAGTGGGTGGCCACTGGGAACCAGCACCTGGTGTCTGTCCTTAAGGAATAAATACACCTATCCTCTGCCCCTCCCAGATTAAGGCAGGACACAAAACAGGTGAATTGCCATATTTTAGTACCCACAGTGCTCATTTCCAGGCTGTGTGGCTTGGCTCGCATGCCTGGCACTCCCACCCTGCCAACTCTGCTGTCATCCACCTCCAGCTCCTCTAAAACTGGCATTGCTCCTTAGAAACAACCTGCACAGTCCTAAAATTGCTACTAAGTTTACCGTAGCCTAATTTTTTGGGGGGGCTCTTATTACATGCGTGCTGTCACTAGTCAGCAAGAAACTACAAAAAGTTCAATTTCTCCCTTAGACTCTGAAACAAAACGGCTTCTTTCCTGTTAAATGTGGTCAGCTTGGCTGAATGGTTGAGCCCTTGAGGGTGCATCACTAATTTTTAATTATAAACAATAATTTCCTGACATTGGAGGGATAAAGATTCTGGTGTTACCAGTTAAAGAAAAGGGATTCACCTTCAGCACAGACTCCTCTCCTACCAGAACAAAGCAGGTAGGTACAGCAGCTCTAGGACACCCACGATGTTAATTGACTTTGGTCAAGGTCACTAACCCCTCCCCCAACTGTCTTTCTGCTTCAGTTGCAGTCTCAATGTACTGCTCAGGCTGGTCTCAAGAACTCCTGAACTCAAATATTCCTCCAGCCTCAACCCTCCCCCATGTAGCTGAGACTATAGCTGTGCACCCCTGAATCCAACTGGAAACACATCACTTTGTTTCCAAATGAAAATAATTCCCATGTGGCTTCCATAGAGATCTGGTTTCATTTCATCAAAATTACAGGAAACATATCGCAGCTTCTGTAATTGCTGTATGCTATGGCTGTTCAAAGGAACATTGCAGAAGACCTAGAATCTTCCTGCTAAGAGACCATCATTGATGGTCTTCCTTCCCCCAGAACTCCCCCCCCAACCTCACTTCATCTCACAAACAACCTCATTCCTTTGCTCTACTCTTGGCATTACAGCTTAGGTAAAAAACACAGGAAGGAGGCTTAGGACACAGTGCTGATCAACCCTATTCATGAGACCTACATTTCCCAGCTGCTGCCGGGGAAAACAGCTGCACAGAGCTGGTACCTCCACAGAACTAAAGAAATGTTGGCACAGGCCACTGTTAGCACACTGGTGTGGCAATGGACTAAGACTTCCCTCTCACAATGGCTGTTCTTTCTGAAATACAAGCTACTTTGACAGACTCGTGCCTCCCTGTGAGCAGCAATGCTTCAGTAAGCACTTCCGAGAGAAAATGCAAAGCTTGTTTTCCTTCAGTTTCGTTTTTGAATTATGCATTCCTACGAAGGCTCTCCTAAGGACCACAAAATCTGCGTTTGGCTGGATTATGTGACTTTTAAAATCTTATTTTCTGAATCGGTAATGTTTTACATAAAGCTTGCTGGTATAAACATTGATTTATGCCACACAGTAACTCTGAACACCACTATTGAAAAAAATCTCGAGGAATGCACCACTAATAAAACCTCCAATTATTGGTGAAAGCATGAATTCCCCTTCTAAGGTCTCCCAACGTGTGTTCTACAGAGTGTAAGTCCTTGGGGCTGCTATGTCAGACACTGCTGTTTGGGGAAAGCTGTAGATTATCTTCTCCTTCGAAGTTCAGAGCATTCATCCATGTACTTAATTAAAAGCTCCAAGGAAGTCTACAGGCAAGAAATCTGCAACATCGTTAAACAGAGCATATCAAAAACTTTTCTATGAAAAATTTTAATGTAACACCGACTAATGTTCACATTTAGGCAAAACTGCCCTGCAGCAGCAAAGCATCGTGACTGACTAATGGGCCAGAGATGGGCCAGAGATTTCTGAGAGCCAAGGTCTTTTCCTTATTTCCTGCTATTGCTTTGAAAAGGTTACTTCAACAAATCAACTTTAAATAGTTACATTAAATTTAATACAGAAAATTAGTTAATACATTTAAATATTAGATAGCTGGCCAAAGAATTGAAAGTCCTAAGTCTAAACTTCATTACATGTATGTTACCAAATCACTTCAGTTATTTTTGCTATCAATAAAGAATAAAATACTAGGGTCTGGAGAGATGGCTCAGAGGTTAAGAAGCACTGGCTGGTCTTCCAGAAGTACTGAGTTCAATTCCCAGCAACCACACAGTGGCTCATAACCATCTATAATGAGATCTGGTACCCAGTCATATATGCAGGCAGAACAATGTATACATAATTAATAAATCTTAAAAAAGGAATAAAATACTAAACATGGATCTAAATTAAAAACTAAAATTTCATTTATATAAAACTAAAGGTGATTAATAGAAAAAAGATCAGGTTGACTACTAAGAAAAACATTAAGAAATGTAAATGAATCACTTCTTTGAACTGAAGGACATATGATAAAGGTCACTGGCTAAAAAGTTTTCAATGAAAATTAACAAAACCTTCCAAGTAAAAATGTAAACATGATTTTTTCTATATTTAATCACAGAATAAAAGAAAACACAATGGCCTTGCATACTGACACACTCATATAATCCCAGCACTCTGGAGGCAGAGGCAGACAGAACTCTGTGAGTTCCAGGCCAGCCTGGTGGTCTAAATAGCATTTCAGGACAGCAGGGACCACCCTGTCTCCAAAATGAATGAAAGAAGGAAAGAGAGAGGAGAGAGAAAGAGAGAACACAGATTAAAGAGCTTCAAGTTTTTTTGTTTTAAACATTACCTAGCCTTCTTACAATTCTAGAATTGTGTGTTTAGAATCAGTGTTTTGATATTCATTGATCAATAATGGGGGGGGGGGGTACTCATTTGGAACACTCTACCCTATATTCCATCTTTCTGGTTACCACTGTAGGTTACAAACAGCCCCCCCCCCCCCCCACACTCAATGTCCTACTGCAAGATGTCTTGTTCCCATTTGTTTATTCTAAGGCAATTCTACACTGCAATCCGATGTCAGCGCAGGCACCTGAGCCAATATTTTCCCACCCCCAGTCAGCTGGCTATTAGTTCTCTTTCCTATAAAGCTCCGCTCAGAACTGAGATACTATCTACTAACCCCCTTTCTGATTTCCTGTTTTTTCTTTTCCATACCCTTCAAATTCCCACTCGGACTCTGAGAGAACAGCATTTTTCTTCCCCAACCTTAAAATGCTTTCATTTCATAACAGAAAAACAATAATGCAGAAGCATCTGGAATACTCTCCACAGCAAGTTGCAGCATCCCAGCTCAT